AAACTAGCACTAATGTGATTTGGTCTTATTAGCGCCTGTGTGTGGATGGAACCAACACTGATATGCCTAGTCAAACCCATGAAATAGACCAAGGCCAAGATTGCAAATCCACCCAAGTTTCTATTGTCCCAACTCCTAACTCTGTCACATTTCATAAGAATTTTTCTTGTGGTGTTCTTGGGGAGACGTGTAATGTGGATGGGTATTCTTGGTTGATTGATGATAATCCTGTTAGTTTAGATCACCCACGGATGATAATTTTGTTTCCTATTCTTGAATCAAGTCAGTGTGTATGAATGTATCTGTGTGAATGCAAAAGGGTGATGGACTAAAATTTCATTATCTAATGTACATTTGTTTTTCCTTACAGGAAAAAGTACGAATTACCCTCCTCGAACTATCGCGGTCGTCCGAATTACCCCCCGAACCAAAAAACCGGACATTCTTATCACCCCCAACTATGCAAACCGAACGAATTACCCCCCTCGACCCAATCCGCAGTGGTTTTGGTCTACATAGCGTACATGTGGCATCCTCGTCTATCTCTCTCACGGATCGGCGGCGTCATGGCGACGGCCGAGCGGAGGCGGCTGCGGGCACGGCGCACGGGGGCGGGCGGCGGACGGCGGCGGCGCGGCGACGGCCGAGAGGAGGCGGCTGTGGGCGTGGCGCACGGGGGCGGGCGGCGGACGGCGGCGTCGCGGCGACGACCGAGAGGAGGCGGCTGTGGGCGTGGCGCACGGGGGCGGGCGGCGGACAGCGGCGTCGCGTCGACGACCGAAAGGAGGCGGTTGCGGACGCGGCGCACGGGGGCGGGCGGCGGGCGGCGCACGGGGGCGTCGCGGCGACGGCCGAGTGGAGGCAGCTGCGGACTGCGGCGGAGGCTGCGGGCGCGGCGCAAGGGGACAGGCGGCGGAGGCGACTGCGGCGGCGGTTGCCGGCGCTACTGGGTGAGCGGCGGCGGGCGCGACTGGATGAGCGGAGGCGGCGGCAGCGGCGGGCTCGGCGGTCGGTGACAGCGCTGATGGACGGCGGCGAGCACGCCGGCGAGAGGAGCAGGAAGGCGAAGGAGTACGGGGACGGCTGGACGACGCCGCCAACGCCGCCTCGCACCCCGCCGTGTCCGTGGTGCCCGTGGTGCGCGTGGAGCTAGAGCTGCTCCCGGTGGTGCGCGAGGGCGACGGCGCCCGCCGCTCGCAGTGGATTTCCGGCCGCCGGCCGCCAAACGTCGCCCGCCTCTCCACCACGCCTGCCGTGCCCCGCCGCGCCTAGCACCGGCCACATCTGAGACAGAGAGAGATTGAGAGGAAGAGGGGAAGAGAGAGAGAGAGATTGAGAGGAAAGTGGGGAAGAGAGAGAGGTGGGAGAGTATGACAGGTGGGTCCCACCATTTTTGTGTATTAAAAAATGCTGACTGGGATGCCACATGTACGCCACATAGACCAAACCACCGCGGATTGGGTCGGGGAGGGGGGTAATTCGTCCGGTTTGTATAGTTGGGGTTGGAGAATATCTGGTTTTATGGTTCATGGGGGTAATTTGGATGACCGCGATAGTTCGGGGGGGGGGTAATTCTTACTTTTTGACGCCACATAGACCAAACCACCGTGGATTGGGTCGGGGGGGTAATTCGTCCGGTTTGCATAGTTGGGGGTGGAGAATATCTGGTTTTATGGTTCATGGGGGTAATTCGGATGACCGCGATAGTTCGGGGAGTAATTCGTACTTTTTCCTTTATTATATATACTAGACAGTCACAACATTACTAGTTAAACATAAAAGGCAACACAAATGGCAAACATGAGTGTTGGCTCATATAAAAACCAACAATGATACAACCCTTTATAGACTTGGTGCCAGTTCCAAAACCACACTAAGGCTGTGTTCGGCATCCTTTCTTCCCAATCGAAACAGTATGCACGGAAAATGAAGCGATCCATTAGTGCATGATTAATTAAGTATTAGCTATTTTTCAAAACATGGATTAATTTGATTTTTTAAGCAACTTTCGTATAGAAACTTTTTTTTTGCAAAAAAAATGCACCGTTTAGCAGTTTAAAAAGTGTGCGCGTGGAAAACGAGGGAGAGGGGTGGTAACAAGGGGTGTCGAACACGGCCTAATGAACGTAATGAAGGTGCCCTATATTAATGAATATTACAAAATGAGAGTATTAACTCAATTTGCGACGGAAAATTGCTTGGAATGCAAAATAATTTTACATAACCAGTTCATTCAATTTATATGTTTGTAGCAGTGTCTAAACATGTTCAGTATAATGAAACTTGGGAGTATAGCTCTGTTTGATTCAGCTTAAGATTATTATAATCTGGATTATTAGGAGTAAGCTGAAATAAACAAATAGCTTATTACGATAGATTATTACAATCTATAAAGCCAGATTACTATAATATGGTAATCCACTCTAAGGCACTCTTTGTTTAGGCTTAGGCTTATTGGCCTAGACTTTTAAGTCAGCTTATTGGCTTATATGATTTATAAGCCAGTGGATTTAATGTCCTAAGTTTAGTGGTGGAGTCATATATCTATCTCATATAAGCCAAAAAAGCTTCTCCAATCTAGCTTTTGGCTTAATAGTGTTAGAGTGGCTTATAGCTTCAAAAAAGCCAAATGAAAAGGCTGCTTGTTTGTTTTGGCTTAGACTTTTCGACTTATAAGTTGGCTTATAAGCCTAAAAAAAGAGGGCCTAAATGTGCTTTTTTTAATTATTGGGTGGATAACAACTAGCAAACAGCTAATAATCCAGATAAACAAACAGCTAACAATTTATTTTATGTCGGCTTATTATAATTCAGTTTACAGTAATCTAGCTCAATAATCTAGATTATAATAATCTTAAGCTAAAATAAATGGGAACGTATCATGTGAAAACCAGGGAAGGTGTGCAAACTTGCAAACTCTCAATCAAGACCACATAATCACCATCTGATGGGTAGGGATAGAGGTAGGCTAATTTTGCACTTAAGCGCCCACCATTAGCCATACTAATCTTGCTTTTTTCAAATCACCCCCTCCCCCTAATCCCCAGCGCGCACGCCGCCTGTTCGTTTCTCCCGTCCCGTCCACGAGTTGCCCGTGAGTCGCTGCCGCCATCGTCCGCGTGTCACCCGTGAGTGGCTGCCGCCGTGGTACGCGAGTCGCCGCCGACCTGGCCCTCAAGTCACAGCCGCACGCTAGCGAGTCGGCATGGAGTCCTCGCCCGCGACGCCAGCGAGACGTTTTTCAATGTTTCTCAGTTTCAGTGCTGATCAGTGCTCGGAAAAAACAGCATGAATGTTTCAGTATTTTAGTGATTGTAAACACCTTGTAAAAATTCTAGTAGAAGCAACTGAGATACAATTTTTCAATGTTTCAGTGTTTCAATTTCACACACAATTGTTGAATCATTAAAACACACAAGTTCATTACATAGGAGGCACCATTGCTGAATCACTAAAAAATTAGCATGAATTTTCAATGATATGAGTCTTCTGGTACAAACAACTGAGATACAATTTTTCAATAAATTTTACACACAATGCTCCACACACAAGTTCATTACACAGGAGGCACAATTGCCATTGCAGAGCCTTTTGTTCAGGCATTACAGTCCCAGACGAGGACGCCTTTTGTTCAGGCACAATTGCCATTACTCAGTTTCTGATCCGGTACTGACTGAAGCAGTGGCAGGACTGCCCTTGGGTGCCTGCTGCACATGTGTGACAATAGCAAACCACTGACCATGAACCTTGAGGTACTCATCCTGCCACACATCGAGCCTGACCTGTAGGAAGTTGTCATGCTGCCTCTCACTGCTGATGGAGTCCTAGTAATTGCTGGCAGTGAAGCCCCTTCTCATTTTTTGCCGGTGATGCGCAGGTGCCGGTGAAGCGTTGCTGCCGATGATGCGCCACGCTGCTGCCCGTGGCTCCAATTCGTGCCCTACAGAACTGGACAGAGGTGCCACTGTCGAGGACATCCTGAACCGGACCACCACCGTCGAGGACATCTCCCTGGCGGCCGCCAGCAAGGCCACCTCCGACCACCACTGCGTGGCTGGCGAAGCCCAATGCGGGACTCATGAGACGGCGCGGCTGGATCTGAGACGGCGCAGCGGATCAGAGGCGGTGGCTGGATCGCGAGTCGTGGGGAGACGATACTGGCGTAGGGGCTCGGGTGTAAAAGTGATGGGAGGCGGATGGCGCAGGGGGTGTTTTGCAAAACAGACAGAGGGGCTGGCGGGCGGTTATTTGCAAATTTAGCCCACCTCTATCCCTAGCCATCGGATGCTCATCCTGTGGATGTGATTGAGAGTTTCCAAGGTTGCACAGGCTCCCTGGTTTCCACCTGATATGCTCCCAAAATAAATAGGGCCTAACTCAATTTGGCTAAGTCAGTCGCTTCCAAGTTCCAACGTAGTAATTTTACATGAATCAATTCAATTTCTATGTTTGAAGCAGTATCTGAACATGCTTTAAGCTTTGTAAGATTACTCAAATACAAGAAAGATTGGATAAACTAAGCTCAGTTAAAGTATTTTATTCTTTCTGTCGGATGACAGTTGGCAAATTCATTGATTTTATTTTTTTCTCTCCAATTAAGCAACCTACAGGAGACATCACGCTTTTGGTGTGCCGAGGTAGGATGCACCGTGAAGAAAAGGGAGTTCAAACTAACGTTAGTTAAAACCAAATGAATATCTGCCACGCCATTGACCAAAAGACAAAACAATCCTATAATCCTATCACCAAAATTATAAAATTCATGCCGGCTTTAGAACTTGTATATGATGTAATTTTGGGTTTGAAAGGAAATTGTGATCGGAACGTATACACATTTTTTTATGGGTTGAAAAAATTATTATACAAACACTACCAGTGCCAACATTCTTTGGATGTTGGGACTACTTGGAAGACCCTCCAATTAATTCGAACCATAAGTCCATAACTACAGATCGAGAGAGTTCCCATCTGAACCCCACGATTAAAAGAACCGAATCAGCCGAGACACGGAGACACCGAGAGAGATCCCAATATCACATATTCCACACGCGTACACAAACACAAGGGAGAGAGAGGAGAGGAACAGTAGCACGCACCCCCACCACCTCCATCTCTCTCCCTCTCCCTCGGCTCGATCTCCTCCTCCTCCATCGTGTCCAAACCAAAGCCAAACCCCGTCTCGTCTCGCCTCGCCTCGCCTCGCCCTGCGCGAGAGGTAGAAATAGGAAGGGAAACAGGAGCAGCGCGTGCCGCCTGGGCCTCCTCCCGCTCCCCCTCCCCAACCGCCGAACCCTTCACATTATCGGTGCGCGCGCGCGCGAGAGGGGGGGCGCCCTGCCGCGGGAGTTCGCCGTGGTGGTGCGGACGGCGAGGGGGCTCTGTTGGGTTGTCGGCGATGGCGATCCGGGGCCCGGAGGCGTCGTCTTTCTTCCCCCTCACGCTCGTCTTCTCCGTCGGCTTCTTCTGCGCCCGCTTCTTCCTCGACCGCCTCGTCTACAAGGTAAAACCGAATCAGCTCTCGGACCCCCTGCCAGATTCGTGCCGGGTTCCGCGAGATCTCTTTCTCCACTCGGTTTCCCCAATGCTCTCCCCCGGGGGGGTGACGCAAGGTGCTGGGTGGCAGCGGTGCTCGTCCATCTCGCTGGCACTGCGAGCCTTTATGGCCGTACTCGTACCCGATCAGTTTGATCCGGACAATTCGATGTATCGACGATGCGCATGTGAAGTGCTGTCTGTGCCCTGCTTTTTTTTTCCAAAATAGAAATGTCATTAATTGCATTATATTGGCTATGGCGGCTATTTATGATCAATGTGGTTGTCATTTGCTAGTACTCTACTTTAAAGACATGAGCTTGTCTGCCACCCTTGGTTCCTATGTCCTCTTATGGTGTTTTATGGTGGTTGAACTCTTATGGTGTCTTATGGTGGTTGAAGTACTCTCTCACAATCTTTCGGATCAAGGGAGTTGATACTCACATTAGGCTTGTACATTAATTTTTACCTTCAATTTTGGATCCAAGTGTAAATTCCATATGTCCATATGTTGTTTGGCTACCTATTGGCTTCTCTTTTGTTTGAACTTCGGAAAAGCCTTATAACATGTTTTAGCTAAAAATATGTACAGTTGCAAATAAAGTGGTAGCTATATAGCTAAGCCCTTAGATAACCACAGCTTTGGTTCCTGTATGTTTTTTATTTCATTTCTGTCCACAATTTTCCGAATTGCCTGTATAAAATTATGCTTTTGAAATTTCAGAATAACTATCAGTTGCACTTGAGAATTTACGCCTTACATATAGTCCCTATGTATGTTTCATTTCAGCCACTGGCAGCTTACTGTTTCAGTAGCAAGGCTTCTAAGCTGATGAATGATGAGGTCAGGCAAGCAAAGATTGTCAAGTTCTCTGAGTCGATTTGGAAGCTGACATACTATGGTTCTGTTCAAGCATGGGTCCTCTTGATAATAAAGCAGGAACCCTGGTCGTTAGATACAATGCAATACTTCGAGGGCTGGCCAAATCAATACATGACGTGAGTGTAAACTACTCTTACGTACGTTCTGCATATCTATGAGCATACCTGTATGGCATGCGCTCTATGCCTGATACATTGCTAGTATACTGCAGAAGGAAGGTAGCTAGGGAAAAAAACATAAAACTGTTGTTGTCAGCACCCTTTAGTTTTGCTCTTTCTGTTTTATACATGAAACTCATATTCCGAGCCATTTTAATTACTTATAATCATGCACTTGTAGTAATACCAAACCCCTGTTTTCATCGCTATGCTGACCAAAATGTCCCAGGATTAGAGTTCTCATAAACCTGTTATTTGGGGTTACTCCCTCCATCACAAAATAAGCCAACCTCGTATTAGGATGTGACACATCCCAGTACGAGGTTGGTTTATTTGGGACGGAGGGAGTAAGTGATTTACCTCCATTTTCCTTATATATATGCTGTCCTTTTCTTGCAGGTCCTCATTGATGCTTTTCTACATGTGCCAGTGTGGATTTTATATCTACAGCATTTTTGCTCTCGTTGCCTGGGAGACCCGCAGAAAAGATTTTGCTGTGATGATGTCTCATCATGTTGTAACATCTATTCTGATCGGATATGCATATCTGACTGGGTAATTTCTTTCAAGCCCCTTTGATGATATATTTGCTAGTTTTGCACTTCAACTACTTCCTTCTCTTATGTTCGGATGTAAACTGGACTACAGCGATTATCCAAATCTTTCTGTGACTGAGTTAAGTCCTAGTGGTTCGAAAAACAGTAAAAAATTATCTCTGAAAAAAACACATAGACATAAAAGCAATCTAGTAGTTTGATTCCTTGGATAAATTGAAGAACAGTAAGATTATCTGAAAACACATAGATATAAAAACGAAATTTGTAGTGTTGACATATCAGCTACCCTTCTTGCTTGCAGCATAGCTATGTCATCTAACAATACATAGATGTTTTGAAACCACTTTGCTTTATTAGACATGTTCTTTTTTAGTCCTGTTCACCATGTTTCTGTTGATTCTGAGCTATTAAGCAACATATTTATTACCTTTTGCACTATAAAACATAAGGGCAGTATAAGCATGGCTCTAAGACAATTAAATCCTTTTTATATTGTAGATTTTTTCGGATTGGGACAATTATTCTGGCTTTGCATGATGCGAGTGATGTGTTTCTTGAGACCGCCAAACTGTGCAAATACACAGAAAAGGAGCTCGGGGCTAGCTTGTTTTTTGGCCTTTTTGCTCTCTCCTGGCTTCTGTTACGACTGATTTACTTCCCATTTTGGATAATCAAAACATCAAGGTCTGTTTGTACTTCTCGACATAATATCTTCTGTTCCTTTTACCAACTAAGGTTCAAACTTACAGTTTTGTGTCTTTTCTTGCAATGTGCAGCTATCAGTCCATCATATCTTTGAGGAAGCTGGAGAAATTCCCAACAACATTGTATTACATTTTCAACACAATGCTCCTCACTTTACTTGTGTTCCATATTTACTGGTGGAAACTCATATGCTTAATGATAATGAAACAATTGAACAATAAAGGACAGGTTGGAGAGGATGTTCGATCAGGTAAGAAAACCTTTGGTTTAATCACTCGTTGGTGATCTATATTCGTTATTTTATGTTTTACCTTTTTTCATCCATAAATAAAAAATAAGAGAATCTGCCTCAATAGGGGAGATCCCAATGGCTTACATATTGAAATAATAAACACTGGCCTTCAATTTTTTCACATGAGCATGGGCAATATGTGATAAACAAATCACATGTTGATTAGATCACCCTGTGGCAAGTCGTTGTGGTGCAAATGTTAGGAGCTCCCTTCCGTTACAAGAACATACAAAATCGAACATTCATTGAACCAGGAATTCTAATAGCTAAGGTTTTTCTTACTGCATCTTATCACTAAAATTATCGGATGCTATCATAATGCAGATTCTGAGGATGAAGAGTGATGGAGCGATTCTTTGACAACTGTGATGTGTGCCATTTCATTGCTGATACTTTTCTGTGCCTGCTTTTGGTACTAAATTGTTTTGGTCTTGGCAAGCTTGGAGCATAGATAAGAAAGATTTGCCTCTGTATATTGCCCTGTGGTATCAGAAATGGCTAGACCAAGAACAGAGCAGGTTCTATACATAACGGGTATAGCTAGCAACTTACTTGAAGATCCCTTCATAATTTTTGGTCCGTCTTTCTTTGTTATTAGAAAAAGGCATGAGAGGTCGTTTTCTGTAGCTTCTCCCAATGCTTACAGACCCCTCTGTACAATGTTTTTGTATACTTTGACTGTGAGTAGGTTTAGTTCTAATTCATGGGAATAAATTGATTTTTTCTACCAGGAGTAATTCTGGCTAGCATCTCAATGATGTCATGTGGTGTGAAGAGTTTCATGCAGCTGCAAACATTTTCTTTGGACAGCATTGGGTTTTCTCAATTTTGGGTTTGGATGTGTGCTAAATTATTACAGGTCCAATCTTTTGGAAGTCTTACAACTGTAAAAGTCAAACTGTTGAGCAAGCTCATTGTGCCACATCCCCTTTAAAAATGCTGTCATCAAATCGAACTCAATATGTCAATCTCCTGATGTCTAAAGCGCATGCATATTTTCCTGAATCCTGAAGACTGCCAACTGCCGTATGCATCATTTCATGAACACTTCCAACCGCTGGCCGATACATCATTAAGCTATCGTGTTCACGCGGTTGCAATCCCTCGAGCTGAGATTGCCTACAGCGAAGAACAAACACCTCAGACCTACCCCTCCATCCAAAAAAAAAACCTAATCTTACTTATCAACATGAACATATGTATGTCCAGTTTATTGCTAACCTAATCTTACTTATCAACTCTGAACAACCCGAGAAGGGTTGGACGCGCCATACCCGAGATGCGATGCGCGCCCATGCCAAAGACGTTGTGAGCGCTCACACGAACGAACCCCGTGTGAGCGCTGCCGCGCGTGGCTCGCAAAATCGCGGATTGCCGCCCGGTCGCACTGTTGCTGCTATCTGGGCACGATGCGCTGCCAGCCTGCCACACACCGGTGCTACCACCCATCGCAGCCAACCAAACACGGCGTGACGCCTGGCTCGCTGCAATCGTCTCCGCAGCCCGCGCTGCCCACGTGACGCTGTGCCACGGAGCTTCTGCTTTTCCAGTTGGCCGCGGGGGAACAAGGCAGAAAAAGGGACCGATCTGTGAAAGCAAGGAGGGAAGACAGTGTAAAGGTAGGAGAAGTCACTGCTGGGTTGGACCTCATGCGGTTTGACGGGGGAGACCTACTTGGACAGCATGGGGTACCAGCGCAACAGGGCACTTTCTGACGAGAAGGAAAGCATGCGAGGAGCAAGAATCTCTATTAAACAACTGCTTTGACAGCGAAGATCGATATCACACTTGAGAGGGTTGCGGCAAGAGCTGGGATGCTTGAAGGCGACAAATTGAATTGAGACGCATGTGACATGGACTTGATTATTATTCAGCATTCAGCGGTACGGAGTGGAAGCACAAGAATGCAGAAACAATAACCTGAAGAGCAGTCAAATGGAGTCAGAAAAACACCTCCATAGTTCAACCTACCAGGAAAAAGGAACAGGGGCGGTATGGCATGATAAATATTCGAATGCATATGCGTACCCAGATAATCCAGCCTGTCCTCCCTTCGTCTGATCTGTCTCAGCTTGATCAATATATGAGCCGTATAAGATAGGGTGTAGTATTCGGCAACAGCCATCAGAAAAGAATCAATGAGCTCAAGTGGTGCCATGCAAGCGATCCGGAATGAAATGATGAAGAGTGGCCAGCATGATGACTGCCTTAGAAAATAATCTTTGTTAGACCAACTTACAAAGAAGTTTAAAACTGAATGTACATAGTGATTTTACCATCTATTCCTGCAACCCAAGCTATAAATCATACAAGTGTGATTAAAGAAAAAAATAGCCCAAAATTGTTTGGTTCAAATAAAACCTCATGGATATCAGCAAGGATCTCTATTAAACAAGAGCATTGGGGATTGTAACAACAGTGTGTTTGGAATTCACATGTTCTCACTCCCATACACTTGGACGAACAATAGCTAATTGATTAGGATTTTCAAGTAGTTGGAACACATTCAGAAAACTCCGAACAGAACAGCACCTTAGTTTACAAGAGGGCAGGAGACTATCTAGAGATCTTTGCACCTAGAAAGGGGATACACAGATTCATGCTCGAGCAATCGACACCAAAGATCGAATGATCAAGTATCAGCTTCGAGCTTCTTAGAATGTAAATTAAAGCACATGCACTTATCGATAAGAGCCTCAGACTCGTTACCATATTCTTTGAACCTGTACTCATCCAACTTGAATGCTGATGGAACCTTCCCTTCACTGTAGCATCGATTGCACAAGCTAAAGGAGTGCTTTGTCTCCTTGAATCGGGAACCAATGATAGGATATCGGCAAATTGAGCAGGTGTGGCGGCCGTGACGAATGTGATCGCTGTCCTCAAGCTTCACCAATGTGCTTAGGATTCCAAATCCCCAATCGGGATCATTGAACATTTCGAGGAACTCCGTGTATGATACCATAGTGGGGTCAGACTCCCCATGCATTTCAAGCATGTCGCTAGCCCCATGGGTGGGTATATAAACAGCACGAAGAAGTTTGATGTAGGACAGTGCATCGCTCCTCCTAATCTGACCCCTGCTTCCTTCACTTGCCGGACGCCAAAGAAGTGCATCAAAGACAACCCGCTTGCGCTTATCCACAGGACCAGAACAAATTGGGGCGATAATAGCAAAGAACATCCCAAGGTCAACACGGCCAGAACCAGAGGCATCAAGGACGGAGAGGATTCTTTCGTTAATCGCCTTCACAGAACCCTGAAAGGTATCTGGCTTGAGGAAAGATAGGAGCCTGTGGAGAATAACCTCGAGAGCTGCTTTCCGTATTGACTTCTCTGGGTTGCCAGCGCCTGAGTAGGATATGGGGACATCAGTCTCGTTCATCTCTTTCCTCAGAAGCTCCGCGTCACAGCGGCCAAGCTTTGTCGTTTTCTCAAAGGCTCTTATATCAAGGGCATTAGCAAGGTCCTGCCGCAAGGTAGTCTTTCTTCCAACCCTCTTGAACTTGGATGGCTCCACTACAACGAAGGCCTCCTCTCCTTGACTATCATCTTTTCCTTTGGGAGGCTTTGGTTTCTTCTTCTGCAGTGTCTTCAGATGAGATATGGCATCATACACCTCTACCCTTTGTGTCATCTTAAATGCCTCCTTGAGTGCCTTCTTGGCCTCCTCAGACTCCCCCTGGCCAAGCAAAGCAACAGCCTTGTTTAGCTGAGCACGCCAATGGTTCGGTCGGATGCTCAACACACGAGTATACATCTCCGCAGCCCGCACAAAGCGCCCTGCATCCATATTCAATCCACCAAGATTGTACAAGGCATCAACATGCCCAGGTTTGAGATCAATTGCCTTCTGAAACTCCTGAACCGCACGGTCATCATCCCCGATCGCATGCAGGGCTGACCCAAGATCACAGTGTGCATCAGCATAGTCTGGCTTCAAGAAGATGGCCTCCTCTAGTGCCTTCTCGGCTGCACGGTACTCACCAACACCAAAGAGCGCGCTACCGAGGAGCTTCAGCGCCCGGGCATGAGAAGGACACAGTATGGCAGCCTCTCGGTAGTGCTCACAGGCACCGAGCACCATCCCCTCAGCCTCCATGGCAATGCCAAGGTTGACATGGATCTGTGGGAGGATGTCCGCAGACTGGGAGCCACCTGCCTCCGCTGCCTCAAGCGCCAGGAGATACTCTTCCTTGGCCTCCGAGTGGCGGCCAAGGGCGTAGAGGCAGTTCCCCGCGCGGAAGTGGGGGCGCACGTCAGTGGGCTGCAGCTCGCAGGCGCGGCGGAAGCTGCTAAGCGCGTCCCGGAAGAGGCGGTGCTCGGAGAGCGCCCTGCCGATGACCATGTGATTGTCGAAGGCCTCCTCCCGTGAGCGGGAGGCGTCCGCGCGCGTGCGGAGCACGGCGAGCTCCTTGACGAAGGTGAGGTAGTCGCGGCTCGTCTCGTCCCATGGCGCGGCGGTCGAAGCCGAATCCGCTTGGCCGGAGATCTCCCTTGACCACCCGGCCTCGGAGAAGGAGTCGAAATTGTTGTTCCCCGCGCCGCCGCTGCCGTTGATCGTGTCGATGGAGGATGTTCTCCGCAGCTGCTTGGAGCGGAGGCGCTTCACTAGTATCTCCAGGTCGTCGAGGAGCGCCCAGGAGGAGTCGAACGCAATCCCGTGGCTGGGCGACGTCGCCCACGCCGGCGCGGCCGCCGCGGCGCGTGAGCTGGACGAGGGCGCCCCACCGGCTGCTCCAAGCGGCTTGATGTGGTCGTCCAGGAGCGACGCGGCGGCGGCGGCGCCGGAGGGCGGGGACGAGGCGGCGGCCGGGTCCCCCGCGGCGATCTCCGGGGAGGACTCCCCGGACTCGAGCGGGGGAAGGGACAGCGCGAGGAAGTCGCGGTCGACGTCCCCGGCGCCGTCGTCGTAGGTGCGTAGCAGCCCCGGCAGGGAGAGGCCCCGCCCCCCGGGGAGTATGAACTCGGCGTAGGTGCGGAACACCTCGTCGAGGATGGCGGAGATCTGGTCCTCGCTGAACTTCACCCGCGGGTTGACGGCGACGACGAGCGCCGCCATCTCGTCGCGGTCCAGCCCCCCGTCCCCGTTGGCATCGAACCGCTCGAAGATCCTCCCCACCTTCTCCGCCCGCGCCCCCCGCCCGGCCGACGCCGCCGCCGACGCGGACAGCGCCATCCAACCGCCGCCGCTGCCCCCCCGCACGGGGAAACGCTGCCGATTTACGGCGAAATCCGGCACGCGGGCGGGCGGGCGGGGCACGGGCACGGGCACGCACGGGGTTGGGGGATTTTGAGGGGGGGCTCGAGCCGCGGACGGGTGGGACCAGGGTGGCTTGGTGGAAGAAGAGGAGAGAGGAGCGGCGGCCCGGCGGTTGTGGGCTATGTAGAGGAGACGATCGTTATGATGACGATGATGGTGGTGGATTGCTGCTTTGGGTGGCGGCGTGTGGGCTGTGGGAGGGAGGGGGATCGGTTCATCGGCTTAGCTGGCTGGCACGGCCGCGCCGACCGCTCGCGTCTCGCTGCGCAATCTCACGTGGATATCTCGCGATTTCGAGCCACATACGCGCGCGCGCACGGTCGCTCTCGCTCTTGGGCTCTCGCACGGTCGGACACCGTGGTGGCGCTGTGGGAGACTGTGGAGTGGACTGGTGGTGGGTGCTTGCTGGTAGGGGGAGAGGAGGAGCTAGCGAGGCAGCGAGGAGGGGAGGAGCATTCATCGTGGCGAGCGAGTTGGTGCGTTACGCTGGCTGGCGTGGTCCGGCAGCATCGTTGGGAGTTGG